GCTTAGATAAAAAGTAATTTCTATTAAGTATGATATTTTTTACCAGTATAATGTCATCATCACTTTCTCTATCATCAATAAAAGAATCTGAAGTATCATAATTATCATCAGTATAATCATCATCTATGTTTTCAATTTCTACTTCTGTGTCATCTTCAATTTCAATGATGAGTCTTTGTCCACAGTTTACGCAATTATTATCTACAAATAATTCAGATAAGAATAATTTAACTTAGCCACTCTATTTTCACTATTAATTTTTTCATTAATTACCTTCGGTGCTCCTATTCTCTGGTTTTGTTTCTGTGTTTGAATTGTCAAAAAGGTTTCCCCACAGATTAGATTTTACTTTGAACTCTTGATTTTTTTTTCCAAGACGTATTTCTTCTTCTGATGATTTTATACTAATAAAATAGTCTATTATGTCCTTAATTACAAAAGAAAATACTAGTGCTACCATGATTTTAACACAACAAGTCAGATATTTTTTTTGTTTTTTGAACTAAAAAAAAAGTTTAATATACGGTATTACAAATTGTCGATTGAAGTTGGCTAAGAATTAGTTAGAGAAATGCTTCATACCCACTTATAAAGACAAGGTAACAAAAAGTATGACCGCATGAAATGGTACAAGTATTTGATATATGGGCTAGGTGCTGAAAAAAGGACCGAAAATAACAAAAAAAAGATCTTCGGAAAATTGATTTTTATATTATAAACTTTATAGTAAATTATAAGAAAATACCAACTTTAAAGTGCTATACTACAAAATTTTATTAATACATCTGCTTTTGTATCTTAAGTGAAAAATGATCCTAATCTTATTCTAAATCAATTTATATAAAAAAATCTCTTTTGAAAAAAATGTCATTTTCGGCCCTTTTTCCAGCACCTAGCCCATATATTCAAGACATATAGTGCACTTTAATTCAAATCTATTTATATTGGCCTCTAAACCGTCTATAATCTGTTCCCTGAAAATTAACTCTTTATTTAATATATCTATTGTTATTTTAAGTTGACTAATCTCTTCAGCGTAATTCATTTTAGTTATGTGATTGTTTTAACACTGATATTACGGTTGCTAGAAGGCCATTTATTACTTTAATAACAATTCGAATGATCTATTTAAAAAACACTATTTATTTACTAAGCAAGATTTTGTGCAAAAATATTATTAAAATTTAAATAAAAAATTTTTTAATAGCGTACGTGAAATAAACAAAAGAAAGATAATAAAAAGAATATGATTAAATGAATCTTCTATTACTAATGTTATCTATATATTAAAAAATCAATTAAACAATTCAAACAATTCAGTTTGTTTTAATAGATATTTTTGAATTTTAAACCAAAATTAAATTTTATTAAAAATCTTTACATTATTTAATAGAAATATCTAGTAGATAAAGTAACAAATAAGTTCCTGTAATTTTTATTTATTTCCCTAGAATCATGTATTAAAACATATCAAAACATTGCATGACAGCATAGCGGGCTTTCATTGTAATTGGCTGATTTTGAAGATCATCCCGTGATATTGCAAAATATGATTGGTTAATCGATAATCAAAAATCGTTTAAGTCGAAGATATTTTATATGAAGCTAAATTATGACAAAATAATTTTTTATAAGACTAAATTGGTCTTAATAAAAGTACTACTATAAATATCTCACATTTAAGAGTCTAAGACCCTAAGACTAGCACAAACAAAACTTGGATCTTATTAAATAAATACACGAATTAAAAAAAAAAAATGAAAAAAAAATTAGAAAATGCAGAAAATATACTAAAATCCAATAAAAAACGTATAAATCAATTTTAATCGAAATACTAGTTTTATTGATATCAAACTATCTTAACCTCAATAACCTTATTTAATAATCTTAAACATGGTATTACATTCTAATTTCGAGATTCACAAACCTATATTTCAACACAGAACACAGTGTGTTACTAGACTGTATAAACTATTTCACTAAACTATTCCACTAAACTATTCTACTGGTAGTATCTGTTTTGGAATCATAAATAACTCATAATAAGATAAATTAGCAAAAATAACTCAAAAAAAAACAAATTACTAAACTTAATAATAGATTCGTATATTATATTTATGACTTATTTGCTAAATTGAAATGTTTTGGGTTATATTTGTATCCTGAAAAAGAATGTTTATAAACCTTCTTTGCGATTTCTGCCAGCTTATTATAAAATGGTTTTATTTTATCAATAAATAGGTTTTCTTATAGCTTATATGAAGAATCTCCTTTCCATAGCTTATATGAAGAATCTCCTTTCATAGCTTACAGGTGATATATAAAACTTCATCGATCTTTAATTTTGAAGAAAGTTTGAAAAAAGCATTTAAATCTTTCTGAAAAAAAACAAATCCATTTTGTGCTCTTGGTGGGGCCTTATTAAGTTTTGGATTACTACAATTGTTAATTAATTCATTCATTTAAAGAAAGGAAAGTTTTTGAATTGAATTTTTGAAGTTCTTTTATTTTACTTTTTGCGATATCATTAAAATTAAAATAATCAATTTTATTAGCCATTATTAAGTCAAGAATCAAAATGTGATTTATTTTTTTAATAATTTTCAATATTTAAGGTGGTGGTTTATGCTAATTTATTATCTTGCTAACAAACATTTTGATAATTTATTTATTCATTCCTAAAATATCAATAAATAAACAATTTGAAATCTGAGTAATTAAAAACAGCTATAAAATGATAAATAAATAACAAAAATTGGCAAATATTCATCGTATGAAATCAAACTTCGTTATTCAATTAATTCACTTAAATAAAAATAACCGTGATTAGATATAACTTAATTAAACCTTTTAGTTACCACAAATTAAGCACTATCTTTTCTGTGGATGGGTAAATAATCCCAGTATAATCAATTTTTAGAGAGTTCTTAAATAAGACAGACACTGGATACTGTAAAATTATTAACGTTAGTTACCTAAAGTCAATGAAAATTGTGCAAATAATTTTAACTCAAGGAATAATTGGTTTTTCAAAAAAAATAAAAATTTCTTTGTTATTGTAAATCAATTTTTTTTTAAAAACCAATGAACTCTAGTTAAACATAACTCTATTTGCGATAAGAAAAATTTGGAATAAATGAATTTCCTGATTTTTGAAAAAAAAATCATTATATAAGATGACCTCTAATTTAAAAAAAATCCTAAATGAATGAACGTATAAAAAATTTTTGGCACGTATTTATGCTTGACACTCTCTAATCTTTAATTGTTCTAACATAAGCGAGAAAACAAGCACCAAG